AGGTTCAGCTTGCTTGATCCAAACATGGTGCTGGTTGTCCTGGCTTCGGTTTCTCTTTCCCTGTAGAGGAGACATCTGTGGTAGGGCCAGGGCCTCGTTCCTCTGTCCTCGTAGCTGGGCCTCCCATATCACTGACTGGAGGTTGGTGGTGTGCAGAGAACCAGCCTCTGATCCGGCCCTACCTACAGAAAACCTGATGTTTCGATATTTACTGAAGGGTGTGCCTTTTTCTTCAGTTGGTTCCGGATTCTGAAAAGGAGTGGTATTTTTTTATTTTTATTTTTATTTATTTATTTATTTATTATTATTATACTTTAAGTTGTAGAGTACACGTGCATAACGTGCAGGTTTGTTACATATGTATACTTGTGCCGTGTTGGTGTGCTGCACCCATCAACTCGTCATTTACATCAGGTATAACTCCCAATGCAATCCCTCCCCCCTCCCCCTCCCCATGATAGGCCCCGGTGTGTGATGTTCCCCTTCCCGAGTCCGAGTGATCTCATTGTTCAGTTCCCACCTATGAGTGAGAACATGCGGTGTTTGGTTTTCTGTTCTTGTGATAGTTTGCTAAGAATGATGGTTTCCAGCTGCATCCATGTCCCTACAAAGGACATAAACTCATCCTTTTTGATGGCTGCATAGTATTCCATGGTGTATATGTGCCACATTTTCTTAATCCAGTCTGCCACTGATGGACATTTGGGTTGATTCCAAGTCTGTGCTATTGTGAATAGTGCCGCAATAAAGTAGTGTATTATTAACTCCTAAGTCCTCAAAGTGGTATTTCTAAGACTGAAAGTAGCTGTCTCAGAATCCCACGATATGGACTTTATCCCACACTCTTTATCATGACCATGGGCTTGTAGAATATTGAGGTCAAAAGGATCCTCAGACATGCCTTTAGCCCAGTGTATCCCTACAGATTAGCAAACTGTAGCTTCTCCACCAGGGCTCCAGGATCAGAGGAGAGAGCAGGGGCAGAGCTGTGGACATTAGCTGTCCTGAAGACCTGAGGCTGGGAAGCAGCGATCTGGTGCCACCTTAGCACTTAGTGGGCATCGTAAGGGTCTTGGGAGCAAGCAAGAGACCCCAGTTCTGAGAAAGGAATGTGTCGGGGCTGGGCGTGGTGGCTCACGCCTGTAATCCCAGCACTTTGGGAGGCTGAGGTGGGCAGATCACTTGAGGTCAGGAGTTTGAGACCAGCCCGACCAACACAGTGAAATCCCATCTCTACTGAAAATACAAAAAATTAGCCAGCTGTGGTGGTGAAACACCTGTAGTCCTAGTGCCTGGGGAGGCTGAGGCAGGAGGATCACTTGAACCTGGGAGGTGGAGGTTGCAGTGAGCTGAGATTGCGCCATTGCACTCCAGCCTGGGCGATGGAGTGACACTCCATCTCAAAAAAAAAAAAAGGAATGTGTCGAGATGCTATTGGGGGAGGGACACGTAGGATTCATTGGTGGCCAGGTGCGCAGTCGGGGACGGGCAGGAAGCATGGCACCACTGCATGGCCAGAGCAGCTGGCCCTCTATAGTGTCTAGGCTGGAGCCACCTCCAAGCTTCCTTTTGTCCCTTGCTCAGATTGCAAAAGTGTCTGGCTGGTGTGGGTTCTCTGTCTACTCCTGGCTGCCCTAATCTCTGGTCCCTTCAGCTTTCTGCTTTCTGGTTCCCTGAATATTGTACCTGGAATTATTCTCTCACCAAAACCGCAAATGTAAGAGAAAGACAATTCTAAAAAAAAAAAAGAAAGAAAAAAGGCGAAGGTCTCATTAGGGAGGGACATGGCTGCTGGGCTGGCAGGCGTCACCAGCTGACTCCTGTTTCAGGGTGGCCGGACACAGCAGCTGGAGCACCGTGTGATGAGGAAGGAAGTGCTGGAGCCGTGGGAGGACAGAGCTGGGAAGTGCAGCTCATCTGGTTGGGGAAGGCCTGTACAGCAGGCTGCCAGAGGACCAGGAGGCTGGGGTCCAGCCAGGGGTAGTGGTGGAGAGGCGGGAGGGAAGAGGGTTCTGGACATGTGTGAGGCTGGAGGTGAGACCGTGTGTGGCTGTTAGAGATGAGAAGTCGGGGAGAGACTCTCACAGGGCCCCACAGAGCGGGAGGGCAGGACGGGCTGGAGCCCACACCCTGCTGCCAGTCCCATGGCACCACACCGCCTCTGTTGCTGCCAAAAGGAGTCAGTTGAGGGGTTTGCTGAGCGTAAGAGAAGTTTCTTCTCAGGTCACAATTAAGAGGCGCTGCAAGGGCGTGGGGCCTCCATGAGAAACAGTTACAGGGTCAGTGATGGAGATCGTGGACACGACCCTGATGCAGGAAGCGTGTGGAAGGAAGGAGAGGGCGATAGCGGAGAGAATGGGAGCGCCCAGGCGGTGGCTGGTGTCTGCAGTGAGCGAGTACAGTAGGAGGAAGTGGTTGGTCAGATAAAAATACAGCAAAACATTCATGGTTTCTGAAAAATGAGGCCGGACGCCAAACCAGAGGCAGTGGGGAGAGGGGAAGGGCAGAGAGGGCTGCTGGCTGCCTCCCCGCAATGGGGTGTCTGGAAAGTCCAGTAGATCAGAATGCCTCTCATCTGCCCACAGGGCACATTGTTCTCAGTGACACCCAGGAGGGGCCTCGTTAGTGGAAAATGTGAGTTGTCACTTTCAGAGGGAGGTGGGACTTGCCCCGGTGTCACACTGGGTGGACAGGGCTCCTGTCACTCACTCTGCACTGAGCAAGGCTTTTTGGTGTCTGGGCCCCTTGCGTCTGAGCTCCCCAGCACTGGCTGCCCTTGGGGGTGGAAAAGCGTGTCTGCCCAAGTCACCGGCACAGGCAGGTACGGAACAGCTTGGCTCCCACGCCAGCGAAGAGCTGCCTTGCGTGGTGTGGAAGAGGAAGACAGCACCGGGGGCAGAAGAGAACATTTCCTGGAAAAACAGGCCATCGAGGTGGCTGCAGCAGTGGAGGGAGAGCTTTTCAGAAAGGAGGGACCCGTGAGCAGAGGCGTGGAGGCAGGAAGTCAGGCCATGCCTCTCAGTCCTGATGCCTGCTCTCCAGCCACCGAGGCCAGATGCCATTGTCTCATGTTACGATTGCACCATGTCCATGTTCCACCCGCTTATTATGACTACTTTTTAATTTAAACTGCCTTTTAAAAACTTTACTTAAATGGAAGGTTAGCTCCTCGCTGAGCATGGCGCGTTAGTGTCACTGCCCTGGGCTTTGTTCTCGGCTTTTCTGGGCCCCCACAGTCTGATCCTCTGATAGAGCTCACTGGCCTGGGTTGTCCTTGACTCTTTCACACGGCCATGTCCTCCATTTTCACCAGCGTGATCTTGTTTTTTTTTTTTTTTTAACTTTATGGATCTTGAGTTGTATGGGTAGCTTAGAAATGCCTCTGTCTATAAGAAATCAAACATAGACACACAGCGTGAGGGCGCTGTGATGACCCCCATTTAGTCCCTTCCTGGCAATGGCCTTGGTCGTCAGTCCAGTGGGCAACCTGCTGGGCCTTTTCCTATGGGACCATTTCATTGGTTCTGTTTTTGTTTCACACAAAATGTATCAGATTGTCTGTTTTTTCTTGCAGTTTTTTTTCCAAAATGATTTTCTAAGGCATGAATCTTTTGAAATTATTTATTTTAATACATAAAAACAGTGAAAACAGTAATACATACTCTTGCTTTAAAAAGTTTCGCAGCACAAGCTCATTCCTGTAATCCCAGCATTTTGGGAGGCCGAGGTGGGCGGATCACCTGAGGTCAGGAGCTCGAGACCAGCCTGGCCAACATGGTAAAACCCTATCCCTACTGAAAATACAAAAACTAGCTGAGCGTGGTGGTGGGCGCCTGTAATCTCAACTCCTCGGGAGGCTAAGGCAGGTGAATTGCTTGAACCCGGAGGTGGAGGTTGCAGTGAGCCAAGATTGCGCTACTGCACTCCGGCCTGGGCGAGAGTGAGACTGTCTCAAAAGACATGACTGTCTCACAGCATGAAAGGTACACAGCGCTGGACATGTCCTTCCACTGCTTCCAGTGCTCAGAGGCTTCCTGGTGCCGCAGGAGAAAGGCCCTGCTGTCCCCGGCCACAGGCCCTGTGTGATCTGGCTCCCTTCCCCACCGCAGCCTCTCTGCCCTCCTTCCTTCCCTGGCTGATCAGTGTCCATTCAGCTGAGCCCCCGGCCATACTGTGGGTGCCCCCTCCTCAGACTGATGGACCTGGATGGTGGCCCCTGGGCTGTGAGCGTCCTGCTGGCAGGGCCAGGGGAGGTGGGTGACAGAGAGGTCAAAGCCCCGGCCTTGTGGTACAACTCTGGGTGAGTCAGTTCACTTCTCTGCGTCTCAGCCTCTTTCCCTGTGCCCAGAGAGCTGCTGGAGGGTGGATTCATGATGACAAAGGGTGCCCGGGACAGGGCCTCTCCATGCTGAGGGCTTGCTGCAAGCCGCCCTTCTCACCCCGGTTGTTGTTATTCTTACTGTTCCAGCCCAGGACCTAGCACAAGCCTGGCATGTAAGTGAGGATAAGTGGACACTGAATAAAAAAAGAAAGGAATAAAGCTCCACCTAAGACGTGTGGGGACGCAAAGGGACAGAGGCCTCTCGCGGGGCACTGGGGACGAGGTAGAATGGCTGAGATGGGATGGGATGTGCGTGCAGCGGGAGCTTAGTGCACGCTCTGAGCACGTCATTGAGTGATACGCTGAAGGTGCTGATCCAGACTCTCATCGGGAGGCAGCGAGCAAAGACAGGAAGCCCGCGGCAGCCTCCGTGGTTGCAGATAGCATCTCCCCGGCCCTCCTGCCTCACAACGCCCTCCATCTGTTGTCTGTTTGTCTTCCAAGTACTCCAGGAAGAAAGAAGCCACACGGCACTGGCATTCACCCAAGAGGCTGCAGCCTCCGCCCGTGTCTGGGGTTGCTGTCCCCTGTGTTGAGATGGGATGGAATGATTCAAGCAAACTACGTTTTTTTGATGAGGCCCCCCATCACACCCCTTTTTTGGTCTGTTTATTTCCAGGCAATGCCACTGTAGATAAGTTGGAGGACTTCATCAACAACATTAACAGTGTCTTGGAGTCCTTGTATATTGAGATAAAGAGAGGAGTCACGGAAGATGACGGGAGACCCATTTATGCATTGGTGAGTGCCCGGCAGAGCCCTCTAGTGGCGTTTTTGAGGAGCTGGAACAGGGCCCAGGCAGCCCGTGTTTGCTTTGGTTTGATTTCTCTTTTTGGACAGTTCTTTGTAAAGAAGTCACTCCAAATGTATGGAATATTAGGAATAAAGGGAGAAATGGTTTTTTACTTAGAATAAGACATAGAAGCGATGAAAAGAAACAGTGTGTAGGAGTGTCAAGGATTGCGACCCACGTGGGGTCTTCAGTGGTTTTCAGATTTACTCTCACAGGTAGGGATCAGGGTGAAACACAGGAGTGGGAAGCTGACATGCCCCATCCCTGGCTAGGAGACACCTCGGGCTGGTCAGAGGACATCTGGCTGCTCCCAGCCAGGCTCACACTCAGAAAGGAGCACTCTAGTCCAGGGTTTCCAAAACATTACACAGGCAAAGAACTATGGAAATGCTGGTCAGACACGGCAAAGCAGATTTCCTTGCTGTCAGACTTCTCAGTGCCTTTTGCATTTGAAGCTCCATTAACATGTAGACAAATCTCCCAAATTTATCTGAGTTTGGAAAATACTGCACACCCTCTGGAGTTCTGAAACTTCTGAGGGTCTAGCATGTTGACTGAGCTAAAGAATAAAGTCTGTAGTATATGCCTGGTTACAGATCCATCCTGCGGCTCGCAGTGCCTGGATACAGGAGCTCAGTGACTGGCCAGAGACGGAGGAGGGGAGGGAGGGAGAGCCAGCGACACGTTAACCAACACGCGAAGGGCACAGCCTGACTGTTGCGCTGACTTATTTCTTAGGTGAATCTTGCTACAACTTCAATTTCCAAAATGGCTACGGATTTTGCAGAGAATGAACTGGATCTGTTTAGAAAGGCTGTAAGTAGAGTAATCCCCGTCGCCCATTGGCTGGGCTTCTTATGGGAAAGTTCTTTCTCAGTCGTTAGAAGTGGCAACTGCAGTCTTCAAGGATCACTGGGGGGACGTGGGCCACCACTGCTGTCTGAGGAAAGGCTTTGCAGGGAGATATCACTGTCTACCCATCTGGAATTCACAGCTGTCAGGGGCCCCCATGGCTGCCTGGGAAGGAAGTGCTGGGCCAGGTGTGAGCCCCAGCTGGATGGGCAAGAGCAGGGCCTCACTGGTAGTAACAGGCGTTCCTACCTGGCTGCTGTAAGTGCCATCTGGGAAAGGCAGCAGCAGCAGCGGCATCACCTGGGAGCTTGTTAGAAAGGCCCAGTCCCAGTCCCTACCCTACACTGCTGAGTCCGAATCTGCATTTTTGCCAGGTGCCCGCTGAATCATTTGCATGTGCACATTTGAGCGGCATTGCTCTACCAGGCTTCAGAGCTACTTGCTCGGCCCTCTGGTCAAACATATGGCTAAGAGTGGTTCTCGGGCCTACATAACTGCAGAGGTGAGAAAGAATTCAGACATTTCAGCCTCACTTGGGATCTGTCGAATCTGAATCTCTTGAGAACCAGGTGTTGGAATCATTCCTTTGAGGTCTTCTCCTGGGGTTTATTAGCTGCCCGGGTTGAGGAGCAGGTGCTGAGCTGAGCACACATCTGCGTGTGCAGGAACCTGTCTTCTCCAGAGGTTCCTGCCTGCCGTGTCTGTCTCTCGCTGCCTCTGAGGCCAGCTGTGAGGCAAGGTGACCCTTACTGATTTGGGGACATTAAGATGATTTATTTGGGAGGATGTTATCGAAGTGACCTCTGAGTCAAAAGAACTGAGCACAGTCCTGACTCTTGATGCGTATTACATTGTTTTCCCCCCGAATACCGTGCCAGTGTGCAGTTCTGCCTGTGATCCGAGTGGTCTTACTGCACCCCTGCCAGACTTAGTATTACCATTTAAGAGTTATTTTTGCCATTTTAATAGAGAAGCATGGTACCTGCTCTTTCTTCCAGCTGGAACTAATTATTGACTCAGAAACTGGCTTTGCGTCTTCCACAAACATTTTGAACCTGGTTGATCAACTTAAAGGCAAGAAGATGAGGAAGAAGGAAGCGGAGCAGGTGCTGCAGAAGTTTGTCCAAAGCAAGTGGCTAATTGAGGTACTGTCTCATGGTTTTCCAGTCCGGCTCACTCTTTTGAGTGAATAGCAGTTTTGTCTCCAAAATCGTATTTCTAGCCAACTGATGTCTGTGGAGCCCAGCCTTCTCAGATCCCTTATCTGCTTTCACGCATTCCAGCAGTGACCCCATGGGGAGGATCTGGGCCTCACCTCTCCTGCCTCCCACTCCCTGTTCACCCGCATGATGTGTTGAGGATGCCACAGCCAGAATGGCAGAGCCAGGAGCTGCACCCGGGATTTGGGCCCCGGGACCAAGCCTCTAGCCCACAGACTGCAAGGCAGAGGCAGTTCCGTGGCTGAGAGTGTGGCTGTGATGTCTGACCCGGGTCTGAACCCTGAGCCAGGTGACCTCAGGTTCCCTGTAAGAGGGAAGTTGTCGTTTCCCCTTTGGGGCTGGGTGTGTCAGGAGCAGGAATGGGACCTCACAGTAACGTGCTCCGTGCTGCGCTGGCTGGCTCGCGGGGGAGGCAGCAGAGGAATTGGCGACGTTACCACTGTTGTTTTTGTCAGCAGTGAGTTCCTCAGGGTCAGTGCTTAGAAGAGGCACAGACAAGCTTTAGGAAAGGAGCTGTGACGTCTGGGACAGGCCCCACTGCAGCTCCAGTTTCTAGATGCTGCCCCGCCCCCACGTCTAGTCCTGCTGAATGGAGCAGAACAAATGTTTCAGTTCTTTTTCCACAAAAGGCACCCCTGTTTTCAACAGTGTAGTGTTTGCTGAGTTGACCATTGCTGTGCCCTCCCAGGTGCTCGTGCCCGTGTGTGTTGAGGACGCGCTCACGTCGGGTTCCCGCTTCCTCACTTGGTGGTCGGACTTGTGGCCAGAGGCTGCTGCTTGTGGCTGCAGCGACTCTCCACTTCCTGTTCAGGAAGGCTTGCCTCCGGATTGGGGAAGTCTGTGTTCTGAGTTACTAATTTCTGTGTAGGGTGGGCCTGTACCAGGAACCTGACCCAAATTCAGTTCCTGGGGTACCTGATGGGAAGAAAGGGTGGAGAGGTCACAGGGTGAGGGCAAAGGTCACAGGGGTGAGGTCAGGGCTGGGAGCTCCTGGTGAGTGCAGGATCTGCTGGGCACATTCCCGTATGTCCTGTCTCGGAGGCTGCCTGCTGTCCTGCAGTGGCTCCATAGCTTAGTTTTTAGCTGACAGCTCAGGGGTCTGGATGACATCGGACACCCTGAGAGTGGCAGGGCCGAGTTCAGGCCCCAGTTTGGGGACTGCAGCTCCCATCAATGGCTTTGTCACGGTTTTTCTTGCCCTCCGGGCTGTATTTGGTACTAGAGAATGTTCTAGGGTCTGCTGAGGTTATAACTGACCATTCTCGCTTGTGGTGCAGCCCCTCTTAGGGCCAAGTTTTTTTTTTTTTTTTTTTTTGAGATGGAGTTTCGCTCTTGTTGCCCAGGCTGGAGTGCAATGGTACAATCTCGGCTCACTGCAACCTCCACCTCCTGCTTCAAGTGATTTTCCTGCCTCAGCCTCCCAAATAGCTGGGATTACAAGCATGTGCCACCATGCCTGGCTAATTTTTGTATTTTTAATAGAGACGGGGTTTCTCCATATTGACAAGGCTAGTCTCGAACTCCTGACCTCAGGTGATCTGCCTATCTCGGCCTCCCAAAGTGCTGGGATTACAGGTGTGAGCCACTGTGCCCAGCCATGGGCCAAGTTTCTTAAGGGCAAGGGTTATGACCTCTTCATGGCTGATTCCCATTGCAGAATCTAGTGCGTGGCACCTCAGGCGCTCAATAAATGCTTGCTGATTGGATGACTGAACGGGTGGATGAGGTTACAGAGGAACAGAGTTTAAAACTTACAAAAAATGTTACAGGAAATACCTGTTCATTATAGGAGGATTACAACATGTCAAGATGCATAAAGAAACCCACTGAAGTCACCTGTTATCCCAGCCCCTAGAGCCAAGTGCCCCAACATTCCATTTCACAACACTTTGCAGCCTGCTTTGCACCCAAGAGCATGCGTGCCTAGCACACGCCACCACCATTGTGCATGGCTTGCAGGGCGTGCCCCCAGCTTTATGATTTGACTTGCCCTTTGTCTGCCCTTGGTGTCTGGAGAGGGCTGTGGTGGATAGGAGAGGCACCGCCCTTGGAGTCTGTGGGGGTGAGCTGTGGCTGCAGGCGCTTGTACTCTGTGCCTTTCTCAGTTCGGTGGCAGTGCTGGCACCGCCTTCTGCAGGGCGCTTCTGAGCTCGAGGGAGGGTGGATAGAGGATCCGGGAGCTGCCACCTGCAGGAGCGCTGCAGAAGTAGCAGGGGGCCCTCAGCACTGGTGCTGGGCAGTCGCCCTGGAGAGGCTTCTTGTTGACTGCCTGGCCTGCTGGGGCCCTGAGGAGGACGAAGGAACAAAGCTCATGTGGCAAGAGCTGCGTAGTGAGACTCCTCCAGGTTCCTCTGCCGCCTGTGGCAAGCAGCTTCTTGTTGCAGAGACTGTTTCCTCATCTGCAGGATGGAGACACTGCCAGCTCCAGGTTTCTGTGAGGGTCCAGTGCTCTCTGACCTACATGGCCTGGTAAGGGTTGCCCTGAGGTCTGCGGCACTCTGGAGGAACCGCTGAGAACAGGGGTGGGGTGCTCATGTACCCAGGACAGGTCTTCCTAGGGCAGCACCTCGATCAGAGAGACCACACGTCAGCGTCTGATCCTTGGCTTCTCAGACACAGGGCTTCCCACAGAAACAGCCAGGGGTCCACTGCCAAGGCCCTTCCAGGTGGGCATATCACCCCAAGGACATGTCACTCCTAGACAGCCAGTCCTGTGCGAGACTGGCTCAGCATGGAGGTGCTGAGGCAGCTGCCGGTCCAGGAGAAGGCCCAGGGGTGGTGGGTGGTTGGGGTCAGCAGAGAGGCTTCTGAGAGCAAGCGCGGCTCATGGGAGCTGGACGTCTGCTGATGGACGCACCTCCATACACCCCAGGACTGCTCCCTACAAGAGGTCCTGACTTCCAAGTGTCGTGGCGAGGTGCCTGGGAGATTGCCTGGGCTCTTGTCTTCTCTGAGGGCTAGGGCACCCCTCCTACCCCTTCCCTGATGGGCCCACAGAGGACTGAGTGGGTCATGAATGGTGAGCCTTGGGTGCAGTTTCAGGTGCATAGTAGGTGTTCAGTAAATGCAGCTTGGCTGGGCACAGTGGCTCACACCTGTAATTCCAGCACTTTGGGAGGCTGAGGCAGGTAGATCACTTGAAGTCAGGAGTTTGAGACCAGCCTGGCCGACATGGTGAAACCCTGTCTCTACTAAAAATATAAAAAATTAGCTGGGTGTGGTGGCGGGCACCTGTAATCCCAGCTACTCGGGAGGCTGAGGCAGTAGAATCACTTGAACCCTGGAGGCAAAGGTTGCAGTGAGCTGAGATTGTGCCATTGCACTCCAGCCTGGGCAACAAGAGTGAAACTGTCTCAAAAATAAGTAAATTAAAAAAAATAATAAAAATAAATGCACCTCCTGCCTCAGTCTAAGCTTGAACTTGCTCACAGTGTGAGGCACTCCTCTGGGATCAGTGCAAGGTCTACTTCATCTTCCTGTGGGCCTGCCAAGTGCTGGGCCCCACAGCAGGTGCTGCGGACACTGGAGTGAGCGAAACCAGAGCTGGTGGCCACTCCCACGGGGCCGTGGTCTGGAGGGAGAACCCAAGAGCAGTGAGACGGTCATCCCACTGCAGTCCAGGTACAGATGGAAAGGAAACATGGCTTTATGACAGCTGTCCCAGAGGAACTGGCCCTCAGCTGCTGAGTAAGTGACACTCAAGCTGAAGGCTGTGTGGGAGTTGCCTGGAGCCTGGGGTGGGAGGATCATCAGCCCAGCAATGGCCCTGTGGCCAGTGAGTGTGCTCAAGAAGCTAAGGCCAGGGCCATCTGAGCACAAAGATTGCTGGGGAGAGCAGACGAGGGCAACCCGGGAGATACATGCATTAGGGGCTTGGCTCTTGGACCTAAGGGTGGTGGGAAGCCCTCGGGCGGGGGTGAGGTGGGAGTGACAGGGCCAGGCTTGTTTTGTAGCAAGCACATTGCTGGAGGAGAGTGGGCTCAGAGAGCTGCAGGAACAGGGGAGGGTGGAAGAGGGTGGAGGCTGGGGAGGTGGGGTGCCGTGATGGATCTGGAGGAGGGTGGAAGGCAGCAGTGACCGGGGATGTGAGGTGCCGTGATGGATCTGGAGGGGAGGGTGGAAGTGGGTGGTAGCCAGGGAGGTGGGGTGCCATGATGGATTTGGGAGTTTTGGGGAAGGTAACAGCCATGGGACCGAGGACCGAGGACTGAGGACGGCCTGAGGGCTGGTCACATCCTCCCATTGCCCACAGCACTTGGAGAACACAAAGCCCCTGTGCACCAACGGCCGCCGTGCAGGGCATAAGCACCTGGTACCCTGGCCTCCCTCCACTGCTCCCGCAGTGGCTGTCCCTGCCCCAACCCCATGCCTCTACCCTGCCTCCCTTCCTGTGCTCACCCAGCCCCTCTACTGGTGTTCCAGAGTGAATGCACTGCAAGCCCAGGTTATGCAAGCACACCCCCTCCACACTGCACTCTGGGGATGGAGGCAGGAATGGGGTGGGGGGGCTCTACCTGTCAGAAACAGGAGTGGGCCGGGTACGGTGGCTCATGCCTGCAGTCCCGGCACTTTGGAAGACCAAGGTGGGTGGATCACCTGAGGTCGGGAGTTCAAGACCAGCCTGGTCAACATGGCAAAACCCCATCTCTACTAAAAATACAAAATTAGCCGGTGGTGGCACACACCTGTAATCCCAGATACTCTGGAGGCTGAGGCAGAAGAATTGCTTGAACCCAGAACACGGAAGTTGCATTGAGCCAAGATCATGCCATTGCACTCCACCCTGGGCAACAAGAGCAAAACTCCATCTCAAAAAAAAAACCCAAAAAACCAAAAAACAAAAACGGGAGTGACAGCTCTTGCTTGTAAAAATTAGAAAATAACAGGAAAGGCAGCTGAGCACTCGAGTGACTCGCAGGCTTCAGTGACGCCATCTCCTGGCGCGGTTCACGTCCGATGCATGAGCTGACTGTGGAGAAACTGGAATCAGCCTGCCTGGGTCCGTGTCCTGGGTCCGTGTCATTTGCCTCCCTTGGGTCTCCCTCAGTGGTGCCTCTCTCCTGTGACCTGGCAGGGGGGTCAGCCTGGGGAACTGTGTTATTCATGTGCTGCCTGGTTCTCCCAGGGTGTTCAGGATGCATGATGGGTGACCGCACCCTGGCGTGGGAACCAGGAGGCCTGGCTTCCGTTGGAGGCTCCACTGCCCATGGTGTGATGGGGCCCGTCTGCCCTCTCCAGACTCCTTCCAGCTCCGTCTGTAAAGTGATGTGGCCGGAAATGATCTCTGAGGGTCCCTACTGCAGTTGGAGGCAGAAATGCTGGGAGGCACCGGGGATGCTGCTTTTTGGGAGTGGGATGGGTGGCGGATGGAAGCAGTGGGTGCTCGGGTTTGTGCCCTGGGGAGACTGACCCCTTGTGGGCCTCAGCGTCCTCATCTGCAGGAGGGCTGTGACTGCCTCGCTCGGGGCTGCTGTGCAGACAGAGCAGTCACGTCTGAAGGCACAACAGGTGCTGAGAAAAGGGCGGTGTCGGGGAGCTGTGCCTCCATGCCTTTTGGGCCTTTGCCTCAGTTTCCCTTGCTGAGGCTCTGCCAGGGGGACGTGGCTGATGCCCGTTGTCTGGGGTTGGTGCAAAGGTGTCTAGACCCTTGTGTCTTCCTGAGCACAGGGCTGTGGGATCACAGAGGGAACAGAGGTAGTGAATGAGGAGAGGGCCTGGCTGAGGGTGGCCACCTCCCGTGTGTCCCTGCAGAAGGAAGGGGAGTTCACCCTGCATGGCCGGGCCATCCTGGAAATGGAGCAATACATCCGGGAGACGTACCCCGACGCGGTGAAGATCTGTAATATCTGTCACAGCCTCCTCATCCAGGTACCCGCTGGGCAGGGCATGGGAGCTCATTGCTGGGCCCTCAGCTCCTGGGGCTCTGCACAGGTACTTCCCAAATCCTGGCTCTGGACCCAGCCCTCCTGCACTGCTGGCGCCTCCTCCCACAAGAGCTCCTGGAGGCCATCTCCCAGGACGTGTCAGAGGATGCCTCCCCACGGTGGCCTGCAGGGACGCACTGCCTCTCTCCTCCCTGGTTCTGCTGCTGGGGTCCAAGGGCTCTCGCTTACTTTATTTTTCTCAGGAAGGTTGAGTGTTCTGTGCAACCTGCATTATTTTGGCAGTTTTGTGGCAGAGTATTTGGCAGAGTGTCTCTATCAATTGCTGCTTTCCGCAGTGGTCTACTCCAGTTTGCAGGGCTTTGCAACCACTGAACCAGCGTGGACACTGATGTGTCTTTCAGTTTCTGTCGTTTTGCAGCTGTAGCTGTTTGTAATTGCAATTGCTCTCCTGGGCCTCGTACACCTGTATCCTTGGGCACATGGTGATTATTTCCTTGGGCGGGGTTTCTGGGACAAAGTGCAATTTTTTTTTGAAAGCTTTTGATCCACATCAGCAAATAAGCTTCTGAAAAGCTGTGGCTGTCCACACGCCACCTGCAGGATCTGAGTGCGGGAGCTTGCCAGCCCTTGGCTTCTGTCACTGCGTTCATGTGTTCAGAATTGTTTAGTAAAACCACTGCAACAAACAAGCAAACAAACAAAAGACTCCCCTGCACTAAGGCGTTTGGGATTTTCAGTATTAATCTGGGGACTGGAAGATAACCCGATGCCACCAGCTGCCCATTTTCCTTGTGGCTTCCCCAGAGGTTTGCAGAACACAGAGGTGTGCACCAGCTCTGCCGTCATTGGCCTTTCTTGTTTCAGGGTCAAAGCTGCGAAACCTGTGGGATCAGGATGCACTTACCCTGCGTGGCCAAGTACTTCCAGTCAAACGCCGAACCGCGCTGCCCCCACTGCAACGACTACTGGCCCCACGAGATCCCAGGTGCGTGGGCCCTGAGGTGCTCATGGGAAGGGCTGGGCCTGCAGGATGCAGGGCCTGGTGCTGGGGAAGCCCTTGGAGGCAGGGCCCTGAAAGGCTCCAGGGTGTGTGGGGGTCCGCATTAGCAGCCTGAATCCTAGAAGCAGCCACCGCAGGAAGTAAAGGCTGAGCTGCGTGCACCGTTCCAGAGGACTTTCTAGAACCCAGCAGAAATTCCAACGCTTATGAGCATTTTGTCTAGACAAGGCTCCCCCTCTGGCAGCCCTCTCAGGAGGGGGATGTGACAGCCATGTCCACAGCTCCCTCAGTTTGTTCCTCTCTGAATTGGGGCTAACTCTGCCTCACGGGCTGGGGAGGGTTGGCAGTGAAGAATGGTGTAGACCTAGGACAGAGTCCTTGGCACAGGAGACGTAGCTGCTGGCTCGAGCTGGTGCTCCTGTGCTGCCAGCCCCTCCGTTCACTGTCTTTCCTGCCTTTTCTGTCTACAGAAGTCTTCGACCCTGAGAAGCAGAGGGAGGCTGGTATCTCAAAATCGAACAAAAAGTCCCTGCGGTCCAGGCAGCATTAGCCGTCGTGCTCTGCTGAGGGACTGGCTGCCTTGGGTGGCCTGATCGCCGCAGCCCTTCTTGGAAGAGAGGCGTCCGTGTTTCAGGTTCCATGCGAGTCACCTCTTTCTTCTTAATGTGGACTGTCCACAGCTTTGGAATAAACTGTCCTGGAAGTTGCTGCAGCCCCTGTCTGTGTTCTCGAGCCTGTGTGTGAGGCTCTGTGTCGTGGCCTTGCCTTCTTTCCTGGAGTTCGGTCATCACTCAGAACCCCTGGGTTTGGGCTCCAGCAGGTGAAACCAGCAGAGCCCCCAGCAACGGCTCAGGACAGCTCACTGTCCTTGCTCAGGGCAGCCTTGCCTCCAGTCCCAGCTGTGACCAGCTGTCCCAGCAGGATTGGGCTGGCCCACACCTGGATGTGTGAACCTTGGCCTCCCCAACTCCCCAGTCTGGACTCTCCCCTGGCCCAAGGTGCCACTGGCCTGAATGGGCGGAGGCTGGGCGTTTGGGCGGGACACGTGCTCTCCCTCCCTGGACCCTCTGTTCCCTGTGGGTGCCTGGCAGCCCCGCCATCCAGCAGCCCCAGCCGGGACCGGGAGTCAGCCTCAATGCTTCCTCTCCCTGACCCTCCTGCATCCCACTGTCACCAGATCCTGTCCAGCCCAGCTGCCAGTAGCCCTCCGGCCCTGCCGCTGCTGCCTCAGGCTGAGCGCCAGCCCCGGCCCACACCCTGCCTCCATGCTCCCTGTGGAAGACCCCTGGACGCCCCCACTGCTGCAGCAGGGCTGTGGCCCCTGGTGAGGCCCCTGCTCGTCCGTCACCGCCTCCCCCCACCCACTGCTCAGGGTGCAGTGCTTCCTTCGTCAGCTCGGGAGCCTCTGCACAGAGCGCCCTGGGCCTGCGCACCCTCCCCTCTGGTGTCCGGCTTTGTTTCCTGGCTAGCACCCGATCGCCCTTTGGCACTGGTCAGCCCCTCGCTCCCTGCGCTTCCTCCCTCCTCATACTTGTTAAGCCCCCATCTTCATGCCTCTCTTGAACCCCAGCATCAGTCAGGATGCTTCAGTCTGAGAAAAGCCAACTCAGACTGGCTGAAACAAGGAAGGACTTGGCCACAGGGGACTTGAGAGGCCTGGTCTAGGGGCTCCAGCGAGGTCACCACACAGCCATATTTCTGTGTCTACTGCACATTCACTGGGCTGGCTGCATGCTTGGGGCCTACGAGGTGGTTTCCCAGAAATCCAGCTTTCTTCATGGTAGCAAAATAGCTGCCATGCTCTGGGCCTCACACATCATGCCCGGGATCGGGAGGAAGAGGGAGGCTCTCACTCGGCTCCCACACCCTTGCAAGCATCCTCATGGCCCATAGCTCCCACATGGACACCTGCGAGGTGGGGACAGGATGATCCGACTGGCATTGGAAAATCACACCCACCCCGAAGACAGGGGTTGGGGCCGTCCCTCTCAGGCCACGTGGCTGAGGGAGCAGGGACCTTTCCCTAAGCAAATTGAAGGTGTGATTGCATCTTCAATAGCCTCAGAGGCAGCGGGGAGTGAACCTGGACACTGAATTGGTGGCTCGCCTCCCCCGCTGCAGGCAGGAACGTCCCCCTTTGTTCACCTCCATAAACCCAGGGTAGAGCAGGTATCCCAGGCTCAGTGAACCAATGACCCCTGCTGGTGGGAGGCTCACCCTCCCAGAACCAAGTCTGGGCTCCTGAGCCCTCAAGCCCACCTTCCCATCAGTGAGGCAGCCGGGGACCCAGTCCAGCCCTTCGTCAGTGGGCACAGACACGCCCATTGGTAAGCCCAGTGTGTTCAGCCAGTGCCAGCCCCAGCTGGCCTCACCAGAACAGGGGTTTTTTGCAAACGTATGAGGTGGCTTGCAGAAAGGACAGGAAGGCAAGACCAGTCTAGAATGGCAGACCTTGGAATAAGGGTCATGGATGTCAAGACAATTCTGTGACAGTGGGTGCTGCTGCCACAGGGGGTCAGCTCCAGCCTGTCTACGCTCCTCCCGACGTGCCCTCAAGGTGCCAGTCCAGGGAGGACTGTACAGACCTTCCAGGACCGCGTCCCTGGGGCAGAGGTCATTCTCCAGAGTGCAATCAGTGTGCCGTTCTGGAAGAAGGGAAGATGGACGCCAGGAGGCAAAAAGCCAACCAGCAAATACCGCCTTCAGGAGGGGCCAGGGCAGCTCATGACTGACCCAGTTGTCCCGTGGTTCTGGGCGTTCATTCTCTGTGCTCGAGTCAGTCCTGGCTGGGGACCCCGGAAGCCTCTGGGCACTTCACCATTGGGGACACCGGCCCCCCTGCTGCTCGTCTCTCCTGCCTCCAACACCTCCATGATGACACTGATGTGAACATCCCACAACACACTGGCACTCACCCAAAACCCTTGTGAGTTCCAGACACTGGCCTGGCATTCAAAGCCTTTATTACCCCGCCAGCCTTCTCTTTCACTGCCATGCTCCCCCGCCGGTGCCCCGACCTTATCACTCAGGAATTACGGACTGGCCTGCTTCCCAGGGTCCCCTTGTAGGCGCTTGTCTGCACAGCAGCTGCAGACCTGTCCCTCCCAGGCTGAGCCCCCCAGTGCCTTCCCCTGCTGGTCCCCCAGGCCCCATGGCCTTGATATCCCCCTTCCTACCATCCCCCCTCTCTGCCCCAGCCGCCCTGACTCCTACCTCCCCTGTCCCCAGACTGGGGCTTTCCTGTCTCAGGGCTGCTGTACCTGCTGTCACGAGCTGGGCCTCAAGTCTCATGGCCGATTCTGGATTCCTAGTCAAGCTCTTGCTCTTCAAATGTCAACTATCAAAAAACTCTGGCCCCACCAGTCCATCCCTGGCTGCCATTTTCCACCCTGTCACCCTGCTCTGTTGCTTTCATGGCACTAATCACGGCGTGACACTGTCTTCTTGTATTCCCATGTCCTTATTTCCCCCCCCGCACCCCAGCCTGACGCCATTATGTTAAAATACCATGAGGGCAGGGGCCTCATCTGGTCAGTGACAGGCCTGCTAGCTGTGTCCTGTGTCTGTGATGGCAGTATCAGTGTCCTGACTGCTGTGGCCACATCTCAGGCAGGGGCTCGTGCACGTGCCTCTCCTTGGTCTGTGACCAACTGTTCGGCGCTTGGGTTCCAAGCTGGCTTCAGAGTCCACCTTCCTCAGAGGGCTGAAGTCACCCTCAGACTGGGATTCGTAGGAACGCTGGAACCTCACCCACAGGGCAGGGCCATTTCCCCTTTTCCCGTTCCTCATCTGACAAGGGACATTTGCTGGAAGCCTCCTGGCCAGGATACCATACGTTACTGAACGTGGCCTCCCGTGCCCAGCTTTCTGTCACGCTACGCTACAGATGGGCCATGGGGCCTGCCAGCTGGAGCGGATGGAGCGGCTGGGCCACTGGGAGCTGAGGCCACAACCCGCCTGTCCTTCCGCTGGGGAAGGGGTGTGAGTTACACATGCGGGCCGGGAGCCACCGCTCCTCACTAATGGTGAACCTAGTCATGGGGCGTCCCTGTTTTATGCCTCCCTACTTTCAGGGGTGTTGACATCTGGTGTAAATTCTTCCTATGAAAGATTAGGTAATTGACTAGTAACAATGGCAGGGAATAAACAATGTCCTTGCAAGCAGCTGCCCACGGAGCCAAGTGGACTCCACTTCCAGATAGCTGTTGTGTGTGTCAGTCCCTGGCACACCCACGGCCCCTCAGCAGCCACTCCCAGGATGAGTTAAGTGCCACGGCCTCTCCCTGCCAACAGCCAGCTTTCGAGAGTGCAGATGCTGCTGGTGTCTGCTCAAAGGCCGAGAACCCCAGGACCTACCCAATAAAGGTCAAATTCCTTGGCCTGGGTACAGAGGGCATCAGGAACTAGAGTCCCAGCTGCCCGTGGCCACCTTCCCATCCCCCTTCTAGTTACCCCAGGGTAGCTACCCCCTGGCCAACCAGAGGCGGCTTGATTTTTAGCTAAAAGCCAAGCAGCTGAGCCAGTGGTCAAGGTGCTGGCAGGATGGCAGCTGAACCCCCGGGGCTCTTTTCCCCAGGCCTGTCTTGGAAGGGGGGAAGAAAGAAGCCAAGGCTGGCATGGTGGCTCATACCTGTAACCCCAGCACTTTGGTAGGCCAAGGTGAGAGGATCGCTTAAGCCCAGGAGTTCAAGACCAGCCTGGGCAACATAGCAAGATCCCATCTCTATTTAGTTTAAAAAACAAAAAACAGAGGGCTGGGGAAAGTGTTAATGGCCAAAACATAAAACAAACCTGCGTGCACACAAACAAGACACAATTACAGAAAGCACGGAGCCTGGGTGTCCCCCCGGCCTCAAACCTTCCACCGGTTTGAGAGTCATTACTTCTGGGGGATGGTGACTAGAAGGTGGCTAGAGGGAGGCTTCCAGGGGCTGGTGATGGTTCAGTGGTTTCTTCACTTGGGAGCCTGCTCCTGGATGAGTGCGGGTGCAAAGTCATCCAGCAAGACCTTTGCACTTCACTGCAGCAGGTAGGTTATCCTTTAGCCACAAGGATGACAGAAAGCTCCCACTGCCCAGCAGGGGTCTGGGCTCCTGAGCAGGCCCCTATGGACTCTCTCCTGTGACCTGGGCAATGCCCAGCTCTCTCCAGTATTCAGGCTGTGGCGTCCAGCAGGCCCAGTTAAGGGAAGGAAGGGCAGAAGGATCAGAGTAATTGGGATCAGTGGCAGCGGCTAAGGTTCATGCAGCAGCAGGGGCTCGGCACTGCCTCCTCGGCCCTCTGCAGTGAGGACTGGCCTTGCCCTCTTTTCCACATGGGCACAACGAAGCGGGGGATCCTGGCCAAGTCACGCAGCAGGTACACAGCGCGGCCGGGTCTGGGTCGAATAGCCAACCTCAGAGCCCACGTTTCACCCCTGCCCGTGTGACCCATCCGTTTCCCAAACACGTTAGGCTTTCTGATGCCAGCGTCCCCAAGCAGGCTGTCTGCCTGCAGGGTTCTCCTGGGCTCTCCCCACCTTCCTCTGTCATGCACCCCCGGCCTGGAGTGTGCTCCTTCCTGGGCAGCCCCCGCTCTGTGCCCGCCCAGTGCTGAAGCTCAGCCCCCCAGGGCTGCCACTGGGCAGTGAAGGTTCTTCAGGACACAGGTTCAGTCCCGCTTATCTCTATTGATTCCAGGACCCAGCACCAGGTGGGGCACAGTGAACAGATGAGTGCTGTCTGCATGTCTGGCCCTTTCAGCCCCTAGCCTGGCTACGACCACCAGAAGCTGACCGAGAAGCTCAAATCCAGAGCCCGCACGTAATGCCAGTGTTTCACGGGTATGAACAGGATCTCTCCAGGAGACAGGATGCAGGACAGGAATGGGGCCTTGGCAAACTCGGGGAACTTCTCGAGGTCAGGATTCTCCACGTCGACCTGAAGAAAGCAAAGGACGTCATCATCTCCGGGGCAGTGGGGAGAACCTGCAACGTCACCCCGGACCCCCAGTGCCCACCTGGCTCGTGTTATGGAGAAGGTGCGTGTCATGAGGGTACAGAGCCCCCGATTCCTGCGGGGAATACAGCCGGATGTACTTCCTCCCCATCACCTGGGAAGAGAGACCCTGACCGTCAGCTGGTGGCCTCACTCCGCTGCTGCCCCACGCCCACCCTGGCCTCTGTCCCCTTCCGCATGCTGCTGCTCCCTGGGCCCAGCCTGCCCTTCCCTTCCACACATGCTTACAGTTCCACGTGTATGTTTTTCTTACTGTTTTAATTTTTAGAGACTGGGTCTCAGTCATCCAGGCTGGAGTGCCATGGTGCGATCATGGCTCACTGCAGTCTCGACCTCCTCCCTCCAGAGATCCTCCTGCCCCAGCCTCCCCAGTAGTTGGGACTACAGGTGTGCCCCACCACACCCAGCTGATTTTTGTATTTTTATTTTTGGTAGAGATTGGGTTTCACTACGTTACCCAGGCTGGTCTTGAACTCCTGGCCTCAAGTGATCCTCCTGACTCAGCCTCCCAAAGTGCTGGGATTATAGGTGTGAACCACCAAACTTGGCCTAAAGGTATGTTTTTCTTCCAAATACATTTTGGAGCCCACCATTATTAGGCACTTGTCTGTGCCAGGCACCACTTAAGTGCTTAACGTGTGTTAACTGATTTAATCCTCTCTGAGGTGGTTTATCTTCACTCCCATTTTGCAGGTGAGGAAACTGAGGCACAGAGAGATTAAATGAGCTGCCCAAGCTCACATAGCTGAGGTGTGGCAGGGCTGCTGTCCGCGCCGGGCAGGCTGGCTCCCGAAGCCCGGCTCTTAGCCCACTCCTGAGCTGCCTCTCTGGACTGGTCTGCCGGGGTAGGAGAATGTTCTCCTTTACTAACCTCTCTTTGCCTGTGAAAACCAAGGTGGTCTTACAGCAGTAGACAGAGGTGCCTCCCCTTGTAGCAAACCCATCTGCTCCTCTGCCTGGGTCTCAGGAAAAAACCTCCCAGTGACTGAGAAAACTCCTCCCCCGCCCCTGCTGCCTCCTGTTTGGAAGAAGCTGGTCTGGATCAGATGAGTGGCAGGCGGGGGAGGGGCAGAGGCACCAGGCAGTCACGCCAGCACTCGCTCCCTCTCCCGAGGGTTCCCCTGTGAGGGATCTTGGGAGGGGCCCACGCAGGAGGACAGCCGTTTCTGGAAGCAGCCGACTGGAGAGGCCTTGCCGGGCCTGGCGCCGTCTGTGGGTTTGTTTTCTATTTTTGTCCTCATCCCCTTCAGTGCTTCTTGTTTCTTTTTAAGAGCCCGGTGTTCAAAGGCAGAGAATGTGGCCGGCCAGGTGCCTGGGCCAGGAGGAGATAGGAGGCCACTATTCCAGTTGCAGCTCCAACCTGGACTAGGAAGTTCTGCTGGGGATCCTGATGTAGGGGGGAGATGGTTCCCTGGGGACCAAACCAGGCATTGATGGTGATCTCCTCCTCCTCCCCATCACCCAGGCTGCAGTAGTCGGGGATGCTGATGTCCTGCTTCAACTCCGGGATCTGTGGGCGGCAGAGCAGACATGAGAGGTGGGGATCCGGCCGGGGACACCACAGCCCAGAGGCCAACGAAGAATCAGAGACACACACCTATATCCATTGTGTGTGTGTGTGTGTGTTTGAGACAGGGTCTGGCTGTTTCTCAGGCTGGAGTGCTGTGGTGTGATCTCAGCTCACTGCAGCCTCTGCCTCCTGGGCTCAAGTGATCCTCCCACCTCAGCCTCCCTAGTAGCTGGGACTACAAGCATGCACCACGCCTGGCTAATTTTTTTTTTTTTAATTTTTACTTTTGTAGAGACGGTTTCGCCATGTTGCATAGGCTGGTCTCAAACTCCTAGACTTAAGTGATCCACCCACCTCGGCCTCCCAAAGTGCTGGGATTACAGGCGTGAGCCACCGCACCCGGCCCTCGCCTTCCTAGTTTTAAAAGCCAGGGTGGGCACAGAGGATCTATTGCCATACCTGGCAGCAACAGACTGGGCATTGAAACTGCCTGATGAGAAAGACAGGTGTGGGCCTGGGTCTGTGCTCTGAGCTTTATATGATGCAGTAAGGGTGGGGTGGCTCCCCATGGCCTCCGACAGAGTCATATGCCACACGTCAGGCGATCTCAGATGTTCATGGTGGGGCAGGGCTGCGGTGGCCTGGGCTCCTTTATTTATTGTAATTTTTTTTTTTCAAAGACAGTCTTGTTCTGTCACCCAGTCTGGAGTGCAGTGGTGCCATCACAGCTCACTGTAGCCTCAACCTGCAGGGTTTAAGTGATCCTCCTGCCTCAGCCTCCCGAGTTGCTGGGACCACAGAAGCATGCCACTGTGCCCGGCTAATTTTATTTTTGTAGAGATGGGGTCTTGCTATGTTGTCCAGGCTAGTCCTGCTTGGCCTCCCAAAGTGCTGGGACTACAGGTGTAAGCCACTGCACACGGCCCTGGCCTCCTTCAGACAAAGCTAGGGTCTCAGAGTGAAAACACACCACTTTAAGTCCACTTCCTGTCCAGACCCTTAGCAGGCACCTCAGTTACCTCTGGGGTTGAACCCACCAGAGCAGGCCACCAGCCCACACCCCCCAGGCCACCAAGATCCCAAGGGTTCTTCACAGGACCCTGGTTGGACCCGGCGACATTTTTCAAGCTTGAGAGGCATGAAAACAGGGTTACCAGGGGACACAGGTCTTTTTAGAGTCACTGCTCCCCAGCCTGAAGGCACCTGCTGGTGGACACTACCATTCCTTCAGGAGCAGTGACGGTAACTTCAGGCTGCTGGCTCAGAAACCAGTGTGTACCGGGAAAAGCTGGAATGTTCTCCCCGCAGGGAGCTTGGTCCCAGACACTGCTATTCAGACCTTTAAGAGCCTGTCTCAAATCAGCTGTGCAGAAACGCAGCCGCGCCTGCTGCTTAGGACTGAAGTACAAGTTCGCAAGCTGAGGTCCCTCCCAGGGCTGCTGGGGGTTCCTCCCAAAGGTAACACCCCACACTGCTGCTTCTGACCAGAACTGGCCCTGTGGAATCTGAGCAGAAACTATGATTGGTCCCTGATGACATCATCAGGATATCTGAAAGGTGATTGGCTGACCAGATCATGTCATCGGAATCATTGGCCAAGGACGCACAGACCCCAAGGGAATCAGCACTCCTGAGATGGGACTGATAATTGAGGCAGGCTTAAACTGATGGCCAAAATCTTCTAGAACACGGGGTCCCTGGGAGAAAAGTCAGTAAGAGGTTCTGGGACAAGAATTTGGTAGGAGCCCCTGAGCATCCTTTAGGTAGAGAAGGTTCTAGAACACTGTCCTTGCCACACGGCATGACAACACCTGGGCATGGGCTGCTGGGACTTCTCCAGAGTCCTCTCACAGCATGGTGGACACTCAGCTCTGGGACCCAAGGTAAACACCCAGGCGGCCCTCCGTTACCCGAAACGTCTTTCAAGTCCTGGTTCATCTTGAAAGTCACTGTGAACTTGACCTTCTACTCCTAAATATACCTCCTCCTGTTCTACAAAGTATGAAACAGCTGCTCCAGGACAGGGAGCCAAGGTAAAGTGTGGCTTCCAGGGTCCCCGGCCCACACTGAGGCCATGCCCCCAGGATGACTGGGGTCCGGGGAAAGGCGGGTCTCAGGATCACACAGTAGGGACCCGATCAATTAGAATCCCCCTTTCCCTCACTGAGCAAGTGACATGGACAGGAGGCAGCATGCACAAGTCCTAATAGGGAGGCTTGGGGAAGAGAAACTGCCAGCCTCCTTTATTGTCGGCATGAAGGCTCCTGGCACAGAACCTACTGTCCTTGGGTGCCCCATCAAGATAGAGTCAGGCAGCCCTGGCCTCAGCAGTAGATACAGCAGCTGAGCAGCATCCCAGGGCCCCACTGCAAAGGCTGCAGAGGTGCGACCCCAGCCCACCCCTGGCTGTGGCCCTGACCCCATGCGCCTGGCCCTATTCTTGAATCTTGCCAAGTGCTGCCTCCCTGGGCACTCCGGGCAGACACCACAGCCAGGTCCCTCCTGGGCACCCCAGCTCCATCTATTTAGTGTTTTGGGGTCCTGAATCTGGGCGTCTTCCCTGATCTTCCCTCCCACACCCACACATCCGCCCACGTCCTGGGTCCGGCGGTTCACACCTATCTTGAACTGCTCCACCTGCCAGCATCACCTCTCCTTGCACCACAGCAACAGCCCAGCCAGCCACCCGGTCCGACAGCTGCTCCCTTCATCTCTGAACAGCGCTCCTGCAATCCTCGGAGCACTGGCGACCCCCAGTGTTTCCTGTCACTTTAGGAAAATGGCTCCTTGTCACCCATGTCTTGTCGACTTCCCAGCCTCACCTGCTGCTTCCCTCCTACTCACACCCACTACTCCAGCCGCACTGAGCCCAGGAGGGGAGGAGAGGGGAAGGTGAGAAGGTGACGGACAGAGGAGTGTGGCCTCAGACTTACCTGGTCAAAGAGCTGGTGCTGAGCAAGGTAGCCGACGTCCCTCGGCTAATCCACCGGGGAAAACCAGAGGCGATACAGAAAGCCCAGTTAGTCGTGACAGATGCCCTCCTGCTGCTGCTGTCCAGCTGGCCCAGCCCCAGCCCCGCCACCCTTCCACTCCATCCTGAGTGGTCCTCTCCAACACTTAGAGGCCCTGGGGCAGCTTCAAAGAACCTCTCCAGCACTGGGGTACCCAGTTTGTAAAGCACTGATCTCCCATCTGATTGGCAAGCTTTTTCATAAAATGGCAACTAACAGTGCAGGCAAAGATGTAAGAAAACGGACACTTGTGTTAATTGCTGGTGAAAGTATAAGTGATTAACTTTTGGGAAAAATAAGCTGTCCTATCCTGTCCTGTCCTGTCCTAATTTTGACAGGGCCTGCTTCTGTTGTCCAAGCTGGAATGCAGTGACCTGATCTTGACTCACTGTAACCTCTGCCTCCCAGGCTCAAGCAATTTGCCCACCTTAGCCTCTTCAGTAGCTGGGATTACAGGCACGCACCACTACATCCAGCTGATTTTTATATTTTTTATAGAGACAGAGTTTCACTGTGTTTCCCAGGCTGGTCTTGAACTCCTGTACTCAAGCGATCCGCCTGCCTCAGCCTCCCAAAGTGCTGGGATTACAGGGGTGAGCCACCACGCCTGGCCGCTATTAAAATTTTAAATACACATACTCTTGACTTAGCTGTCCAACTTTTGGAACCCACTGAATTATACTCCCCTGCCCATTAACAAGGACCTGACATGAATCCCTCATGTCTGCTGGCCGAGCAGCCTGCCTTCCTCGCTGTGGTCATCCCTCTGACCACAGACTTAGGGACTGGCTCCTCCAAAACCTCCCACGGCAACACACGGAGGGTTATTTGCCTAAATGTTCTATGCTCTCTCCCTTCCAAGTATTAGGGGAAAGCAGTCCCCATGATGTACCTCATTCACGATGTATTTGCTGATGAACTCGTTGACCGTCATGAGTGTCTGGGACCATTCTTCGTCTGTGTACCTCGAACCAACTTCCACCGGGACGGTTCGGCAGCCAGCGATCCCTTGGATATACTCCAGACTAGCAGAAAGACACACATTGGCGTCATCACTGCTAATATTTTTTGGGCATAGTACTAAGTGTGCTTTGCATGTGGTCCCCTTTCATCCTCGGAAAATCTCATGTGCAGAGACGAGGACTGTCATCCCCAGCTTCACTGATGAGGAAACGGGCACGGAGAGGCGGGGCCTGCTCAAGGCTGTGCAGCTCCTACGCAGTGCTGCAGAGCTCTGCAGATAGGGCCAGTAAGTCTGGGTGGCTGGGCTGCTCTGGTTCCCTGCTTGCCAGCAGTCTCCTCACTTCCTTCTTTGCTCATTTTGTCACTCAGCTGAGAAGCCTTTGAACAAATAGTGGGCAGCGCGGCGGGTGCTGAAGGGAAGTCCCCTGGGCTCTGCCCTCTAGCCTGGGACTGATTCCAGGCCTCATCAGGTACAGGCCAGGGGATCTGTGGAGGTTACTGAACCTCTCTGAGTCCTTGATCCCCATTTACAGAATGGGGGTGATGACAACACCTGTCCTAGTGCCAGGTACACAGTAAAATGCTTCATTGAAGGCTTGCTGTGAGGCGAGCTCCTGCAATGGAAGTCCTCTACATGTCTCAGCGGGTACCATTCGCTCCGCTAAACCACAGAACAGGCCGACTCCATCTACCTTCCTGGAGAGATGCCTCCTTATTTCCAAACTCATGCAGGGCCTCCGCGTGACAGCCACGCTCCCGCTGCCTGATCTGATCTCTCCATCATGAATCTGACAAAAGACTAGAAACAAACACAAGAGACCACAGAATCCCTCAGAGAGAGGGGGGCTGTCTCTTGGGTTATTTCTGTGCTTAGCCTCAGGGCCCTGAGATGGGCTGAAATTGCTGGGATCCTGCAAAAACTGCATAACAGACACATCCTAGGACTGCCACTTAGGGACTCATTAAAAAACCGCTTAGGGCGAGGAAGGTAGAAGGTAAGAATCCCATCACCTGCGGTATAAATTCAGAGCACCTTCCTTTTCATTCTTTTTTAACCCCTTGGCGATCAGTCAAGGGCTGCTAGTGAAGCATCTACAAGGCTGCATTCCTCTGGGGATGG